CAGACAAGTGTGAGATGCAGACATGAAGATCTGTGCTTGGATCATGGCTGAGCTGTCTCTGAATAACTACTGTTAGGCAAGCACAAGTTCTCTAGAGGACTAATCCTTCCTAAGTCAGAACAAGATAACTAGGCTGTAAGGAATGCATGAAGTAATTCAGTGTTTATAAACTGTCCTCAACCTTATTCTGACAAAGGTCCATCTAGTCAAAGCTATGGTTTTCCTAGTAGTATGGATGTGAGAGTTGAACCATAAAGAAAGCTAAGTGCCCAAGAATTGATGCTTTTAAACTGTGGTGTTGAAGACTCTTGAGAGTCCCCTGGACTGCAAGGAGATCCAACCAGTCAATCCTAAAGGAGATCAGTCCTGAATGTTCATTGGAAAGACTGATGCTGAATCTGAAACTCCAATACTTTGGCCACCTGATGCAAAGAACTGACTCACTGGAAAAGACCCAATGCTGGGAAAGACTGAAGGCAGGAGGAGAAAGGGATGACAGAGGATGAGATGGTTGGATGCCATCACCGACTCAATGGATGTGAGTTTGAGCAAGCTTGGGGAGTTGGTGATGGACAGAGGCCTGGCATGCTGCAGTCCATGGGATCGCAGAGTTGGACACAACTGAGCCACTGAACTGATTCTGCATCCAGTAATGCATAATCAGAATACAGATGCAAATCCAAGCCCAAAATAGACATTTTGAAGTAATTGGCCTCCATCAACTAAACTAAATTTAGACCCAGGATTGCCCCCTAATGGTCATCTCTTAGAAATGAAATCTCTGAGAACTCCCGAAGGCTGGCTTCTTGTTCTATCTCCAGCATGTATGCTAGAATTTTTCTCCAAGGAAGATCATTTCCAAGTATGTCCATTTAAATAAGATTTAAGTTGGTACAGTTTATCTTTAAAAATACTTCTATAACTAGATTAAGCAGTCTTCCCAGGTTTTAAAAATAACTTTCCTTAGAATGTCTCTCCTTGCCCCCAACTTTGGAAATTTTTTTTAAAGCAAAGATAAAGAGCTTCTGCCCAACTCTTTTTTGCATCTTATGCAAAAGTACAGATAGCTTGTCTTCTGGGTGTCACGATGAAGGCTCAAGAGCTGGTTCTTTATCCTAAAGGATCGTATTACCACAGGTTGTTCCCACTTTTCAGGTATTCATCAATTTCGTAATTCTTGGGGTAAACTTAAGTCTTCCAAATCAAAAGTTAATGTTTTATCCCAAATCTACAGCCCATCTTATATCAAAACATGAATTCAGCATGGGTGGACTTAAGAGTTCACACTAAGTAAGCTACCACTCCCTCCAGGAAACGTACACATAGGGCCTGGCACACATACAGTACTAGAATTGTAAAAATTTGTATCTCAAAGTGAAACACTAGCACCTCCTTTTTGTTGTCTGCAAGCCTTAGTCTTTATCTACAAAATGAGGATAATATCATCTACTTTCTTAAGATGTTGGAAAGGCCAGAGGAGGTAATACATGAAAAGCATTTAGCATAGTTTTTGATAACACAGAAGGCGTCAAAAAATGACAGGCATTATCAGTTATCTCCCCAGTCAAAAGAATGTCAGTTATTTTTTGGAAGCAGGTATTATATTGCCACTCACAGGCATGAAATCTCCCACCGTGGTTACTTTCTGAGACCACACCTCAACAATTTTCCGTGTGTTCTCCACAGGCATTAGAGTCCCTGCTGATGGTATCTGCATTGGTGAAATGGACCTGCTGAGACAACAAAGTTGAGAACAGTCTAGCTGAGGAGAATGATAAGCAACATCTTCTAAGTTCTGGGTATTTGACAATAAACATGGTGGTGCTTAGCCTTTCAGAAAAGGAAAGTTCAAGGACTAGAAATACACAGGATTGTTAGGTCTACTGCACCCTCTAGTGGCCACAGAGAAGATTGCTTGTTTAAAATACTATGGTTGAAATTGCAATATTGATGCATATATACATCACTCTTGAATTTAAAAAATAACCAATTTGCCTTTTTGTGTTCTCTGCCTATGTCAAAACAAAACACAACCTACTATTAGGAAAATCCAATGCTGTCACAATTTGATCCATTTGGTTCTGAATGAAAATACTAATCAATAGAGGAAAAGGGACAGGCAACACTACCTTTCATGCTGTATGGACTCTCAAGTGAGGACTGAAGATAATTGCCTTTGTTGCTTTATGAAAGGGAATTTTCAAATGAGCATCTTTCTAAAACAGCAATTTTTTTCACCAAAGGGTTATTTACAAGACAAGGTAATAATTAAATATGCCCAAGACTATGAATCTATTCTCTGCTCAAACCCTTCATTTTTATAATGGGTAATTATAGTAAAAACTTCAATTAACCAGAACCCTCAATTAACATGATTTCCCCTCTTGCACTCTATTTTTAGGACAAAGTGGTGGAAAAAAATCATAAGACATCATTCATGTGAGTGATTTAGTTTGAAAATCTTTTAGGATAGAATATACTGTAGTATAGTAAGTAGAAAAAAATCTTGAATAAAATTATATCCATACCATGATGACCAATACACAGGAAGAGAATAAATTATTTTGTTGAATATTGTGGTATAACTGTAACCTTTCTATTATCTTTTTAATGTTATGTTGTTACATGAATCAAAATCAAAGAGAAGTAATGAATAAACTCAACATATATAGTACAACATTTTCTATTCTACATCCATGTAGCACTGAGACTGAGAATCAGAATCTTAAATCCTTCAAAGATCTCTATAGATGTCAGAAAAATATTTAAGACTGTCACATCCTATCAAGAAAGAAAAATAGGTCACTTGGGGAATATTTCCTCCAAAATGAGCTGAAACAAGAAGGGCTTATTAGTTAATTTTCAACTAATTTGAAAATAAATGTATCAGGACATTCCTTATTCAGAAATGTCAGTCTTACTCAAAATCTCACTGCAGTATAAAACTCAACAGTCCACAGAGTAGTTCAGGATAAGTAATCACTCTTGAATAGAAAGCTCATGATACTAAGTCCATCTATTTAAAATACTGTTTATTTGTGATTTTACATTAATTAGCATTACATCTAAGAGCAATGTCAGATAACATTTATACATTTTCCACAGGACACAGAGGTTCATTGGCTCATTCTTTATGCCAAAGCAAGTAAATAGAGGCATTAGCAAAAGGTGCAAATAGTTCACTGTTGCATTTAAAAAATACTTATGCACATTGCATTCATTTAAGATATATATATTTTTAAAAAGTTATGGAAAGTATAGTTCACAGGTTACTGTTTCTACATACGTTGTAATACAACATAAATGATGTAGAACAAAAAAGAATCCTCAAACACAGAATTAAGCAACTGAAGGTTTCCACTAAGATTAAAACACTGACTCCAGTAGTTAGTGAGATCTAGAACGAACTTTCCAGGCTCCATTTCAACTTTGCATCATCAAACACTCACAGTCAAACAGAACCAGCCCCGCAACACACTATAATCCATGGAATTTTTTTTATACACCAACTCACCCTCCAGAAATACTTTGGATTATTTTTACTCATTGACTATTTTGGATCATTGATTTTACATTGATTTGTGACATTACTTGGGTGAAAGGGAAAAAAAAAAAAAAACTAGATTAAGCCTAGGTTTAAATTTGTATTTACATTAGAAAGAAAGTTAACTGAAAAGATAAGAAAAATTGGTAAAAATTAATAAGTGGTAGTTTTCTCATGGTGGGGGTATGGGGATTAGACCCACTGCTTTCTTCTAGTGCCACCTTCTAAAAACGTTTCATAACGTTAAAAAGGATTTCACCCTTTTAAAACCTGAATGTCAACTAAGAAATACAATGGTTTTGGTAGAGAATCAGAATTTCAGCAATTGGGGACATGCTTTCAATAAATTACACTTCAAATCCTATCATGACCGTGCAGCATCACCCTAGAACTCTTCTCCTAACACCTTTCTTATTCCTGTCACTGCTCACTTCCTCTCTCAGTCTCTTCCTTCCCATTTGGTTACCATGCGAGGGCTTTTTCATTCATTAGCAATACTAAGAGAAAAATACATTATAAGGTTCAAATATGAATCTTGTTATGCCTTTAAATGCTCGAATCCCCTTTTGATACTAAGTCCCTGGATTCTTTAATTATATTTAAAGTATACTTAGTACCAAGCAGCCTCAAATGTGCTCTACTGTTAAATGATTAGCTAATATGCTTATGACATTTTTATACTGAATGGTATACAAACGTCTCAACATACAAAAATCGTTTTTGCCAGAGTTAAACTAAATAACCCATGTTATGTGTATAAAATCCCCTTCATTGAAAAATAAGGGGGTTTCTAAACTAATAAAAAAGGAACTTTTCAAAAATTATAGTTTACTAAAATGACCTTTTTTTTTTTTTTCAAACAAAGTTACTTCAGGTGAGGAAATTTCATACTATGAATAAAACTCCAAATGAATCTTTTCTTAACTTTAAAAAAAACAATTATGTGCCAGTGTATACTAATGCTATAGATTCTTATCTTAGAAGCTTTTAAAGCATTCTGTTATGCCCATTGAAACAATGGGAACCCAAAAGTTACAGTCAATAATCATGATAAAAAACTATAATCTCATTACCAAGTGAAGCAGGTTTTGAGAAACAAAAATTCTCTCACTTGTTCACTGGTAATTTCTTTCTAGATATTATGTAGAAGGCCTGAAGTAATTCAGACAGATATCTGTTTGTGGGGATTATAATAATACTTCATGAGGGCAAAGCTAATCAAAACTAGCAATTGTTTAAAAATTCAAAACCTTTTTGGGACATAGAAAATGAGAGATGACTTTGAAAGTGTTTTTCATAATATGTTTTTCTTTTAGTAAAACTCTTTCCAGTTCTTAAAAGTCCAGTTTGCTACAGACCCCCAATCTGATCTACCACTGCATATTAATGATCAACTTATATGTGGTTTTTAAATGTGCAACGTCACATTGTAATAACAATTATAAAAAGACTCTATTTAGGCTTCAACTTTCTCCTTTTTTTTGTTCTTTTTCAGAAAAGAAGGAGTGCGGAATTTCTTCTTTTTCTTGGATGGTGATTTTGAAGGTGAGCCTTCGGGTGACAGGACTTCTTCAATTTTTTCTGGAGACTTGATGGTTATCTCGATGCTTTCTATGGTGGTGCTTGTGGTTAACCTGCTTACTCGCTGAGCAAGCTCATCTTCAACACCATGCATGTCATCCTTGCCATTCACTATCAGGACAGGTACGTCCATGGAGATGAAGCTCTTGGAAAATAGCTCATGGTTTTCTATAAAAGGGGAGGATTTTTTTGTTAGTTTATATAGTCATCATCTTTGCTTTATTTTACAAAACTGAAATGCTTAAGCAATGTACTAAGGCATTACTTTGATCCCAATAAAGACAGATGGTTATTTTAATAGACTATGGGCCTATTAGCATGAAGCTAATGCTCTTAAATGGTATAAAGGGAACAAAGTTGTTAGAACAAAGAATGAAGGCTAGATAAGTCCAGTCTGATGACTTGACAGTTTCATTGTAAATCAAGTCAGTATAAATGAGGAAGACAACATACATATATTTTTCTTTAATTTTGGAGTCATCTGGCAATCAAAGTTGAAAAAGATTTCATGCTTCTGACTGGAAGACATATGACAAACCAATTTTAATTTCACAAATTCTTAAGAACTATTAGTTGCCAAATATCCAGATTAAGGTAAGTCAGTATAAATGCTGAACAAAAGTAGCACCCCATAATAATAAAAGAAAATAAAATCATTGGGAGCTGTAAGTAAAATGCATGGTAAGAAACTTACTGTATCAGGTGTTCAATTTCTTTATATGAAGACAAATGACAGAGGGACAGACTCTAAAGATTAACTGGGTGAAGGCTGTGGGAAATTACATTGAATACCTTCTAATTTTTCAGGGATATTTTGCGGTGACTGAGTTTGAGACTGAATTTGTGAAACAGATGAAGCGTCATCTGAGAGTAATTCCTGCTCAGCATCTGTTGGATAAGAGTTTAGTTAAAAGCCATGCAAAACAAAAAAGCATTAAGATTTCAGGAAGGTTAGTGCATACATCAAATACCTGCATACACAGGGATGATAAACACTTCAGCCATGAGCTGAGCATGCTCACAGTTATCCCACACATCGATCATTATGTGTGGAAAGAGGAGGTTCATGTGTTAACACTCTGGCTGCTACTGCTAATTTGACATACATGCTTTAAGGAAGCATGGCTACTGGCAGCCCAGGCAAATAATATGTTAAGCATTTAGCTTTTGCTACAGTGTTAGAAAACCAAAAATACATTGAGCAGCCAAATGAAAGGAAATCTGAAAGCCTCACCAATGATGCTACATTAATGAGGCAAAATGCCTCACTGAAGTTTTGAATAATATCCAATTAGTGATTCCTATCAGAGCAATATTAGTGAGCTAATTCAGGTCACAATGAATGTGGAAGAAACTACTTATAAAGTTATATATACAAGGAGATGGTTCTATTGTGCTATATTTGTTACCTGGCATCTTTAGGCTTTCAAAAAATAAGAGATTAAAGAGGGACATTTTACAAAATACAAAAATAAAGTTTCCAACCTTATGTTAGAATGAACATAAGTTGAAGAATACCACTTAGAACACTTAATGTGATTATATTAATGAATCAGGATGACTCCCTTTTGTCACAAAGACACTATCACACTAATGAGAACTGTTTCTTGGATGATCCAGATGTCATTAGTTCTTTCTACATGATATCAAACAGGCACAAAGATTCTTTAACTAGTGGTTCTATTTTGCTTTGGGTAAAAATTTCAACTGTGTGTTGAAGATGCTTTAAGGCAGAGGCTCTTAACGCTCTTTGGGGGTCACAGACTTCTTGTCCTCTACCCTGCACCCCTGACTTCCTCAAATATAAAATTAAGCAAATATTAATTATATTTTATATTATATTTAAGATATTTTTCGGATGGCTCATAGATTGTCTGAAGCTTATCTAAAGAGCCACGACTGAGAACCCTCTCTAAAGAATCTCTTATTCTTGAGTACAAGTGAGCTAGTATTCAATTGGTGTTTTCATGAACGGTTCTTAAATGCAACCCTTACTTAGGGTTCTGAAGTCAGAAAAAAGAAACCTTACTAGAGTGCCCATGTGCTTAAGGGAAGTCACATAAAAATTCTAGCATCCCACTTTATTTTAGATTTGGAAATTACAGTACTGACATCTTGAGACATCCAGGAGCAACAGAGATTTTACAAAACATTAAAGCCACATACCTGTGAATTTACAATTATGTCAAAGTAAAACAACATTTTTTAAAAAGCCACATTTTCTGAAATGCTTAAATCTATTAATTTATCTACATTTACTTTAGCTACTGATTCTTTACTCATCTGGGGATTTCACTTTACTATAGAAGACTTTCTGCTAGCAATCAGATTGCTTTCTAAGGAAAACAGTCTTCTCTACATGTTAAGATACATGGTCTGTGGTAACTCTTCACATTTTAATCCTACTTACACTCAAGCAAAGACTGAGAGAGAGCACATGGAACAACTGATGGTAAAGAAACATTAAAAAAAAAATCCTGACTGCCTTCTATCATCCAACTCAAGGGGCTCTGTTAGCAGTGTGGTTAGCTGGGTCTTAACTTCAAAGTGAACTAACCTTCCAGGCCTTGCTGTTTACGTTCGATTGTCCTCTTATACTCTTCAAGTTCTCCTTCGGTGAGATGACTGAAGGGGTTGGGAGGAGCTGGTGGGGCATGATCATCATCTTCAAACTGCATGGTCTTACAAAAAAAAAACAACCACTGACTTGTTACCAAGAGTAATACTCATATATGTATATTTATTTATATATATTTACATCTATACATACCCACAACTTCATACACACCCACTTAAATGTATATATGATGTTATACCCTAACTCACAACACCCATAAGAAATGATAAAGTAACATGTTTTAAAATATTCATATCCAGATTAGTGATTTTAGACTACTGATCCAATAGACTAAACCTGCCAATGATGCTTCCTCAAGCCTGCATAGGTCAATTTTAATAACTCTTTAAAAAAAAGAAAACTAAACCAAGTTCTAGAAACTTCCATGTAACTAAGAAATATCTTAAAAACCAAGAATGTCAAAAAGCCTTTGTAAAAAAAGTCTTCGAAAAATGAAACTGCACCAAGAGAACTTTTAAAATCTGCTATGAAAATAAACTTGTACCTATTTGCTCTAGGAAAGAAATCAATGAGACTTTGAGCTAAACATGGCAGATTGAACCCATGCATTAAAAGAAAATTCCTCCCAAAACCCTACTAAAATGATAGTAAAGGAATAGTAGCAAAAATGGTATAAACTTCTAAGGACAAAAGGATGGAAGAGGAGACAACACAGGATGAGAAATGGTAACACATGGTCGGAAGATGGAAAAGCAGGTGGAAGAGTAAGTGGCAGAGATGAGAGAACTGAAGCCTTAGCCCTGCAAAGAAGGATGCAAAAAAGAATGCCTGTGTGCTCTGGAGGTCTGAATAAGGCTCAAGTACCACAGAAAGTCGTGGTGAAGAAAAGCTGAAAAGGGGCAACTTAGAAGTGTGAAGAAGGAACAGAGGGATTCTCAGCTCCCCTTTCCTGTTCCACACACATGAGCAGTGCTCTCTCTCTCATCCCTGCAGAAGATCAGGGACTTATTCTTCAGAATGACTGATTTGGGGACACAAAACACAGTTAAGGGCTCCGAGGATGATGGAGGCAGACTGGCAAGAGACTAGAGAACTCTCTGGATAAATTAAATGACCCCAGATAAAAGAACAACAGATACTAGCATTTGGGCATTCCTGAAAGAAACAGCCTGGTCCATATCCAGGCACCCTGCAGAGGGGCTCACCAGTTCCCAAGCCCTGCACACACCTGAGCTCTGACTGGCTTTCAGTGTCTCATTCTTAAAGACAGACAGACTACCACGGACTTCCAGACACTTGAGGAAAAGCTTCCAACATGGAGGAGACCAGAATTAAGAAGAAAAAGGGAACTCAGAAGAAAGAGACAATAAAGGGAGCTGAAGAAAAATTAAAGTTGATATCCTCAGAATAAGAGGGGAAAATAGGAAATACTATAAGAGAAAATAAGACCAAGATATTATAAGGAAAAAAAAAGGGACATTCAGGGAATAAGAAGTCTTAAAATTAAAAAAAAAAATCAAAATAGAAAATTAAATAGAAGGCTTAGAAAATAGAGTTAAGCAAATCTTCCAGAAAGTAGGATTAAAAGACAAAGAGAAAATAGGAAAGAAAAAAATCAGAGGCTTAGTCAGAGATCCAACTAACAGTATATTAATATATATCCCGTGAAGAGGAACTGAAGAACCTCTTGATAAGGGTGAAAGAAGAGAGTGAAAAAGCTCAACATTCAAAAAACTAAGATCATGGCATCCGGTCCCATCACTTCATCACTTCCCCAAGTAGAAGGAGAAAAAGTGGAAATAATGACAGATTTTATTTTCTTGGACTCCAAAATCACTGCGGACAGTGACTGCAGCCCTGGTATTAAAAGACGCTTGCTCCTTGGAAGAGAAGATATGACAAGCCTAGACAGCATATTAAAAAGCAAAGACATCACTTCACTAACAAAGGTCCATCTAGTCAAAGCTATGGTTTTTCCAGTAGTCATGTACGATGTGAGAGTTGGACCATAAAGAACACTGAGTGATGAAGAATTGATGCTTTCAAACTGTGGTGTTGGAGAAGACTCTTGAGAGTCCCTTGGACTCCACGGAGATCAAACCAGTCAATCCTAAAGGAAATCAGTCCCCGTTAGGGTTAGGGTTAGGGTTCACTGGAAGGCCTGATGCTGAAGCTAAAGCTTCAATACTTTCACCACCTGATGCAAGGAGCCAACTCACTGGAAAAGACCCTGATGCTGGGAAAGATTGAGAGCAGGAGGAAAAGGAGGGTGATAGAGGTCGAGATGGTTGGATGGCATCACTGATTCAATGGACATGAATTTGAGCAAACTCTGGGAGATAGGGAAAGACAGGGAAGCCTGGCGTGCTGCAGTTAAGGGAGGCAAAGAGTCAGACATGACTTAGTGACTGAACAACAACAATATATAACCTGACAGAAAAAGAAACTGAAGGGGAAAAAGATTACTTAACTGAAGAAATACTTTAAAAAATTCCCAGAACTGAAGGACAAGACTTTGCAGATTGAAAAGGGTTACTAAATGCTAAAAATGGAAACAAAAAAGAAATCTACTACAAAGCACACCATTATAAAATCTCAGAATAGCAGGAATGTAGAAAAGGTCTTAAAAAAGAGGCCTACAGGAAGGCACATGAATCACAATACTCTCCTGCTTTCAACATTAATGGGAGTTAGGGGACAATATGGTGATGTTTTTCATATTACTTGCAAAATAGAATTCTGTATCTATTACATGCACATATGAAGGTAGAATACAGGTTTTCAGACTGTTACCTCTTATGACACGTATCCTTTCTCAGAAAGCTATTAGAGGATGTGCTCAATGATAAAGGAATAAATCAAGAAAGTGGGAGACATGCTGGAAACAGAACCACACAGCGAGAAGCACAGGAGCCTCGGGATGAGCCAGCATACCCGGCCTAAAGAGCAGCTAGCTGAGATCTGGACCCTAATGACAATGACAAAGAGCGGACCTGAGAGACTGCCTGTTACCTCTGACTCTGTGGAAAGTAACAGTAAGAAAAGTTTGGGAAGAACTAAGCCTCAGTTCAGTTCAGTTCAGTCGCTCAGTTGTGTCTGACTCTTTGCAACCCCATGAATCACAGCACTCCAGGCCTCCCTGTCCATCAACAACTCCTGGAGTTTACTCAAACTCATATGTCTACCGAGTCAGTAATGCCATCCAGACATCTCATCCTCTGTCATCCCCTTCTACTCCTGCCCCCAATCCCTCCCAGCATCAGCGTCTTTTCCAATGAGTCAGCTCTTCACATGAGGTGGCCAAAATATCAGAGTTTCAGCTTCAGCATCAGTCCTTCCAATGAACACCCAGGACTGATCTCCTTTAGGATGGACTGCGTGGATCTCCTTGCAGTCTAAGGGACTCTCAAAGAGTCTTCTCCAACACCACAGTTCAAAAGCATAGATTTTTTGGCGTTTAGCTTTCGTCACAGTCCAACTCTCACATCGAACTAAGCGTAATGTATCCCAAATACTAAGCCAATGAAGAAAGGAGGCAGCTTTTTCTCCGGAGGCAGAAAGGTTGTCTAAGAAAGGAAATGTCATTTTGGAATACGACCTTGCTCAGCAGTAAGCATTTAAAAATACAAACATTTAAAAATATAAACACATAAAAATATAAGCTTGGGAACTGGTGAGCTCCTCTGCAGACAAAACCTAGACAAAACATCGTGATATAACCTTACTGGGAGAATGCAAACGGGAAGCCTTGTGTAAATAGGCTAAATCCTCATCATCCATAAAAGAAGTCACTATTATCTTTCATTAATTCTAAGATGTGCTTTTCTCTCACAATTTCTCATCTCTTAAATTGGGATTCATCTTATCATTGGTTTCGTAACAATTATAAATGTCAGCATTTATATCTCTTTTAGTGATATATAAAACAATGGTTTAAGCTGATGAAGTAGATTTGATGACATAAAACTGAAGTCTAAAACTGATAAATCAAGAAGGAGAATAAAGATGCTCTTTAGAAACCAAAGTAAATGCTAGAATAAAGTCCTTACCCCTAGAAATTGGGAATTGAAGGTGACATTTTAAGTCTTGTGGATTATTTGACTTTTTAACCTGTGTTTATATTAACATTAGTAAAAACAATTACTCATATTTAAAAAGCAGAAATTATTGGGAAAATAAAGATCATACTGCTTCATGGACTTACAGAAGGAGGCTTATCCACAACAATTCCAGCAAGCAACTGAGACTGTGGTCCTGCTGTTTTCAAGTCATATCGATTTTGTTCTCGAATCTGAATTGAAAAACAGTAAGAAATTCTTAGGGGCAACTCTGCAGGTGACCTTTGGCTTACTATTTGACCACCCCGGGTAAGGGCTGCTTTAATTCCCCCTCCATAAAGCTCTCTTTCACCATCCTAACAACTCACATTAATCTCCTCCACTCCTCTTGACATGAGATTTCCTATTGTCTTTCAGTGTTAGAGAGCTACATTTTTCACTAATACAGCAGAAATATGTCTAATACTTCTTCCCCATATAGCCCTCTTATCAGAAACCAGAAAAGAGCTGGAGGTATTCCATACAAGTTAAAATTATACAGAATTAAATTGCAAAGTCTTCTGTATTCAAACCTCTAAACTTAGCATTAATCAGATTCAGTCCCTAGTGATTTAAACATAAAACAGCATAAAAACGCCTCCTCCAGCCACAGAAGACCATGTCTTACCTTATTTCTCTTTTCTAGTACCTCATTCGGGTTGGTGTTTAAAGGAACAAACTGATTTGGATCTTCAATTTTGATAGGTGTTCCGCTACTAACTTTAGAAGAGTCCTCTGCTTTCATCCACTAAAAAAAATCAAAAATTTTCTAGAATGAAACTTTGTACTAAAGAAATATGGTAGGTTCTTGACAACTGTTTATTGACTCAAGAGGGTGGGGGCATACACTGCCAATATATTAAAGAATTTCACTAAGCAGGTTTTAGTGGTAAATTAGTGTATCTCCCATACTAGTTAGAATTAGCATTCACTTAAACAAACAAATGTTGGTACCATGAAGAACACTAAATTATGCAGCTATTTAAATTTTCTCCTTTTGGCATTTTAAACATGTTGGTGAAAATATTTCAAGCATATAGAGCTTGATCTCACACTAACTCACATTTAGAGTTGCTACCTGCACTGAAGTTTTATCATGTGATGATGGCTAAGAAGTCATCAAAAAGGACTCAAGAAATCTCTTAGGATTTAGTTTTTCAGATTGCATTTAAAAATTTTGGCTGACAGAATGGGCCAAGCCCCTGACTAGCATTTTGCAAAGGGGATAATCTGGTAGTAATCTATAGTATAATGGCACCACAGGGGTGGAAGAGCCTTATATAATTCTTATTTATCCATCATATCCCTCAAAGAAGGATAATATTTATCAAGATTAATGATGACTAGCCACTAGTTCTTTCAAGAAAATTAATTCTAGGAAATATGTTCTTTTACTAGGAGATAAGAAATCATATTGACTAGAGAAAAAACACTGATGCCTAGGTATTTCCATACTGAATACTACTGATTTATATCATAGGATGAACTAATTCTGAGTACCTAGAGAATATTTAATGATAATGATAAACACTCCAAGATTAAACCAAATCTGAGACAAAACGTTGAAAACTTTAAGATTACCTGTTTCTTTATCTATAAGATCTTGCCTAAGGGTAGCTACGTGCAGTAATTCACAAAACTTGGCACCATTAGGAGTTGACAACTTTTATAGTTCTGATTCGTGAGTACACTATAACTATAAAGCAGTCATCATGCAATGGATAGAACTGGGTTCCAGAGTCAGATTGCCTGCTTTCAAACCCTGATTCTACCATTCACAGATGATTAGTTAATCCCTCTGTGCTTCAGTTTTCTCATCTATAAAATGGAGGAGAAAAACAGCATCCGCTCCATAGTAGGAGAAATAAATGAGATAATTTATGTACGGCATGTGAAACAAAGTGCCTTGCACAAATGTTATCTAATAAGTTATAGTCAAATTATTATATTCTACTTTCCCAATATCTTCAACACAGAACACTCAATTCATCAGTAACTAGGCAAAATCTTTAGTAAAGGCAAAGCATGTTAAGTAGGGACATACTGTGATTTTGGTCCTGGGGCTCGTCTCCCCATTCCGAGACTCCTCAGGCACGTTCACTTTCATGTAGGTATTTGGTGAGTTCAACCATCTGGTTTTTTCACGCTGCTGCCTCTGTGCCATGTATTTGAGAGGTGAGAGGGGCACTGTATCATCTTCGAAGGAAAAGGCAGTCACAGTGGCTGGGATCTCTACATCACTCTTGTGCCTTGGCTTTTCTCGAATGAGAGGGTGCCTATAAGCATAGCCTGTTCTATATCCCTGGGGGAGGGAGAAACCACATTTGAAGCAATCAAACTTGTCCCAAACACAGCATTTAGAGGCTAATTCTTTAAACAAATGATTCTTTCGCTGAAAAACAAAAAGGGGAAATCCTTCCAAACTCCACATAACTGCCACATAACACTAGAGTTGAAGTTAAGCAAATTTCAAGATCTAGTTAAAATTGATTTCAGCTGACAAAGCAATTTCCGCTCACACAACTATTTCTGACAAAGGTAATTTCAAAACTGCTGACCAGAAACACTTTCCAAGATATAAACTGGTTTTCTGGAGGCCAAATCTCAGTGCTCACTTAAGTCTTTGTTCCTGGGTCTGAAGGCAATCTGCTTTCTGACTCTTAGCGGAAGAGGGTAAAAATCTAAGATAAGATGACAGTTGCCTGTTTCACCAATTCTTAAAATACACCAAGTTCCTTCCTAGGGTCACACTGCTCCCAGAGGAGTAATGAGCATGTTCCCAAACCACAGGGAGGAGGGGACATCTGGTCCTAAATCTGGAAACATGAAATCAAGTTCATGGTCAATTTTTTACCTACCAAGTTGTCCAGAGTCCTCATCAGCCCTTCGAACTCAATCTCGCCAACCTTCCACTTTTGATGGGAACCCATATTCACTCCTCCTCCTCCAGATGCCGCTACAGTGTGAGTGGAAGCTTTGTACTTCTGAAGGTCCAGCACAAGCAGATTGTCTACCCCACCTGCCCCCGCCAGTGCCCGCACCTGTAATTGATTGCACAGTATTAGAGGCACAGGACTGGAAAGACTGGAACGAGCACTTCACTTTGAAAAAGGCACAAGTTTGATTCTGCAAGTATCTGTAACATGTCTTCAGGCTACCAACAAAGAAACTTGTGACAGCAGGCAGCTTTAGGAGCTTTTCCATCTATCCATACCTTCCAGGGCTCTGACCCTCCCTGATGGAAAACACATTTAGGGCCATACCCTTTAATATATTTCAAGTAACTGAATTCTCTTGCCAAATTTTAAAGTTCTTTCCTTGCAGTTTTCCCATGGCTGTCCAGTTTAAACTTTTGTTGAAAGTTATAATTTTAAAGGAATATAAACACCATATTGTGAATTTAAGAATACTGAAGCAAAAGTCACTTCGTTATTTCAATATAATGAAGCTTTTCATAGCCTCATTTGAGAAGATTGACCATTAAAGCAAAAAAAAAAAAAAGTTGATAGTTAATAACAGTTAAAGTTGGTAGGAAAAGTACACCCCCTCTCTCCCCTCCTTTTTGCAGCCTTTCCAATAAATTCAGATTCTAACCATTTGCTTCAAGAAAATCTGCTTGGTTTTTCTTAAAGGGGGGAAATTAGGGCTGTTAAATATGTCAGCTTCTCTGGGGTTAATAAATATCTAATCCATTTTAATAATGAGGCTGAGGCTATGGAACCTCTGGAAATTGCATGAGTTCCTAAAACTTCTGGTGCTGCTCTTACCCAAAAGTGACCACAACACAGCTGATCTTTGATAACTGGCAGTCATCTTTGTTCATCAATTAGCACCACACCGCTAGAGGGTGAAAAGGGAGAAATGTGCAACTATACCGTCTTGAAAAGTAGGATTATGAAGAAAATTATGTTTACGAAGCCCTTAGATTTGGTGTATGTGTCTATACATGAATTTTAATTTTCTTTCTTCCTGTTTTCAAGAGATACTCAGTTGACCCTTTCTACTCAAGTAAAGCACAACTTCTCTTAAAAGACAAAACAAAACAAAACAAAAAGCCACGAACTGACAGAACTCTGGAAATAAGTAAACACAATACCCAACCCAACAAATAATAAAGCAAAAAAAGGCAGGGAGAGGGATAAAAATTTTTCTTACTTGAATCTCACAGGCTTTCTGTACATTAAAAATGTAATGAAAAGCCTCCTCAACTGTTTCTCCAAGTGCTACCACACCATGATTTCTGAGTACCAGCACCTAAAATAGAATCCCAAAGCAATCACTTTAAATAACTGGCATAGCTCACACTGCTTTCATCAACAGTAACAGCAACAAAAATAGCTCCTTTGATAGAGACTCTACTACACACCTTACAACTTGGCCCCAGAACTTTCTGCAGTTGAATTCTCTCCTCCTGTTCATCAAGTGACCCTTGGTAGTCATAATAGGCGACATCTCCCAGGATCAGGGACTCTTGAGAAATTGGAAGGATCCCACACTTCATGGAGGACACCTATTTGATCGGGTTCATGCCAAGATAACACATTTGGTTACTGACTACACCTTCACAGGAACTGGATTCTTCAGTCAGCTCACGCAGCACTGGCCTATTCACTGTGCTCAGCACTCCAGACTCCTCCCATTTTAGTTCTTTGCTTCTTCAAAAGAAAGAAAAGAACTTGGGGATTCTATTTACATGCTGTGCCAGATATTAGAAAAGAAGCTTTCCTCTAAAGAACTCAATGACGCAAGCAATTATTAAACTGATTCATTAAAAATGCAAATGCTCTCTCTCTTTTCAGTTTTTTCCCAGAACAGTAGCATTTAGTCCAAAGGGCCTTTTGCTTTCTTATGCAGAGGATTAATACTTTGAAAATGACTTCAAATGGTAGGGTCTGAAAGAATGAAGATTATAAAGTATCATGGAAGGAAAGCCATGGAAATAACACTTCCCAGGGTCATTGTTGGTTTTGGCCCTTCAGTGACTTACAGCTGCTGTTGCGAGGGTATGGCTGTGTATCACACATTTAACATCAGGACGTGTCGAATATATCGCGGCATGGGGACTGAAGCCTGCATGGTCAATTTTCAAATTAGTACTTCCCTGATCAACCACTTCTCCTATTATATTGACTTTCACCTGGAAAAATCAGAAAGACACTTAATTGGTACACAAGCATCAAAGTTTCCCATGTTCCACAAGCTAAATTGGCGGGTGGGGTTGGGGTGGAGGGGGTGGCAAACTTCTTTGTCAAAAGCCGGAAGGCAAATATTTTAGATTTTGTGGGCCTCTGTTGCAACTACTCAACTCTGCCATTACAGTAAAAAAGCTGCCACAAAGGACTGTGAAAGAATGGGTGTGGCTCTGTTCCCACCAAATTTTATTTACAACATGTAGTCTGCAACAAAATAGCATTGAGCAAGAAGTACAATTTTTAAGAAACTGAATAACTTAAGCTCTTCGCTGAAGGTCTGGCATTTATTGAACTTGCTGGAAAATGTCTATTTGCTAATTAACACTATAGCACTAGAATCAACAACGTTCCTACTGCTCTAGAGGCCAATGACAGTACTCCAGAGTACAATCATGAAAAAATAAATGCTGGAATGTCACACCCTATAGTCACACCAACGGAACTTTGTTTAAATCTACCTATAAAACATATAGACTGTGTGTGCATGTTTAAACAAATTACAGAGTACAGAAAAAAAAATCAAAAGATTCTCTTCAAAACATGAATGGGTTTACTGATGAGATCAATTCATTTATTAGGCTCTTCAACTACCCTGCTTTTCTTGAACCCTAAAGCTCTTCTTAAAAAAAAATCAACATTAACTTTCCAAATTCTTCCCTGTTCACTAGTAAATGTTTTTCCATCCATACCTCTTCTTGTTCTGTCTGGTACTAAAAGCTTAAAGCTGTCAGAAAAGTACAAGGAAGCACAGAAAAAGTAACATAGGAATGAAAATTGTACCAAATTGGAGGCTGTGGCTTCAGAAAAAGACAGGCCTCTGGGAATTATTATTATGTGGTCTTGCTCCTTACTTATTCTTACCTGGGAGAAACAAAACAAAACAAAATAGAATTAGTATGAGATGTTTATATTTCACAGTGTAAACATGACTAAGAATATACTCATAATGAATAACTGTAAGATATCTGGGTGGGGGGGTGGACAAAGCAGAAATTAAAGGTGTGCAACATGAAACTTGCCTTGAAAAGTTTTCTTCCCTCAAGCCTTCAGTACTTGCTAAAAAAATCTGACATTAGGTCTTCATTTACTGGACTTACCTAAAGTGTTATTTTGGGAGTTCTAAGGTTGTTTAGGGTCAGCTCATCTCAGGATAAATGAATGCCAATATTATTCAACCTAATGAGATATGACTATAATTTTGATTTACTTTATGGAAATTTCCATAAAGGGGAAACAGGCAAAGGAAAGAGAAAAAAATCTCTTCCTAGGAAGGAATTAAGGTGGAAAAGAAAGGGAAACCAAGGAATAGCTGGAGGAAGGAATGAAAAGTTGTAGGAAAATTGCATCTCATATCTGTGCCATTTTCATCACACATTATTTCCATACTTTTTGCTTCCAAATATTGTCTTGTTTCCAAGTGTGGCAACATGTAAACAAGATAATGATGAAGAAAGGGGAAAATTTATTTAAAAAATAAAGACCAAGGGGGAAACCTCCTTTGCCTCCTCTACTTTCCCTGCCCCAAATGCTTTTTAAAGCATTAAAAAAAAAAAAAAAATCACTGACTCTCAGATATAATTGATACACAGAGAAAATCCTGCCAGGAGGATTTCTTTTCAGATAGGTTCTGCGACTGGTCTGAATTAAAGAAACAACACAGGTAACAAATGGAGAAGAAAGTTGGGGTTAACAGTAGCCTCTCAAAGATAAGGTTTAAATCAGGATGAAGCTGTGGTCCAGCATGCTACGTTCAGAGAACAAGGTCTGAAAACTGGACTTCTGAGTAAAGGTGAGGAGAGCACAGTTACCTTCAAGTTGGGATTTTAAAAAAAGCAATTGAAAGCCGAAAGACTCACTGAGATGTATGTATTTGCCAGGTGGGCCCATCCAAACAAGTCTGCAAGTCTGTACAGGCTGGCAAGTTTACAACGAGTAAGTTTTTCTCCCTTCACATACGAGGATGTATCTGCTCCAGGAAGGTCATTGATAGGTGTGACCATGCCGAGACCTAAGAGGAAAAATTGGGGAGAGAGATTCAGGTCAAATAAATTCCTTACCTGAAAATTAGTTGCCAGAAAGTGGCCTGAGTCTGGGAGTGTTCCAGCCTGTAAATGATGATCTGAAACTTACTAGCCCACACAATGTTGCATTAGCTTATCCTCCTCCAGGATAGTACACTGAGAGTGAAAGTACCTATCAGCTATTGCCTTGCTGTTTCATCTAGTACTTGGTAGGGAGTGATGTTAGGGAGTTAGGCTCATGCCACTGGGGGAATATGGTCATATGACCCCAATGGTAACAGCTGATAAGATCTAAAAAAAAAAACAAACTACCTTACCTCTTTTGACTTTTATTCAAATAAAAAATATTTAAGAATGCAATCAAACAATAGTCTGGTTTCTGCCCTAAACAAGCAACAAAAACTGGTCTTAATCTCTAATGACCCAATTGCTAAATTCAACTTTTGCTGTCTTCATTCTCCTGGTTACCATTACCCACCTCTTTCCTAGACTTCTTCTCTAGGCCTGTGTGGCATTATTGTGGGCCTCTTGGCCCTTAGCCCTACATACTCTTGTTAGGGTGCATGGCATACGTCAGATAATCAGTATTATAGAAAAAGTGGACCAAACTAGCTCAACCTTTCAATTTTCCAGTTTCTCCCAAGTGGGAAGAGTGAGTGATGTTGGAACTCATCGTTCCTCTCACCACTGATCTGCCACCTCCGCCATCACCACATTCAAACCTGCTGAAAGTCTTCTCTCCCCTTCCTTGGCTATGCCCTTCTCACTGATCTCTCCGTTCTCATTCCCACAACCACTACTCTAGTTCAAGCACTTATAACTCACTCTGGGACTCTTTCAAAGATTCTTTAACCAGATGTGTGTGCCAAGATACTGGTCCACGTGAGTTCTACCCACACCTTGCATGTTCCCACCATCATGTCTCTTTGCATGCTATTCCTCTATTTGGGAAGTACTTGAATTCATTGAACTCCTACTTGTAAATCTTTAACAAAAAAAGAAAAAAAGGAAGTAACAAAGAAAGAAAGAGAAGGAAAAGAAAAGTCCCTGAGGCCTAGGATTCTGTACCTGCCCAGGTACAGCAGTCAGTTCTGGGCATGTTTCTCTCTGAGATGTAAAGTGCTTGTACTCAACAAGTTATGACTCTTGGCATCCTTACAGCATCCAGTCCACCAAACTGGCACTCTCCGTAAAGGCCTGGTGAGTGGATAAAATGTGCTAACACCTCTTTTACATCAAGTTCTAACTGCTACTGCTCCATTGTTTTAAAGTCTGGTTTGTTGAGGCCTCTCTTCTTTCATAAAGTTCTTTTGGTCCACTTCACTCCATAATCAATTCCAACTCTGAGTTCACAGCAAGATAACTTAGAAAAAGTCAGTAGACAATTTCTTTTATGTTGCTTTGTAATTTTTTTCCTCTCCAGTTATCTTGCAGTTTTAATCTTTTGTGCATTCAGTGTATGTCTCCTCAACTCATATACGCATTTATCTGACGCAGGGACCACATTTTATAACTATCTTGTAATCCTCACAGAGTCTAGTAAACGTCTGGTTGGTATGAAAAAGTAAGAGACCCTAACACTATGTCACTCTAAGTATTAGATGTTATAAACTGAAGCACTGAACCAGATCAGAACATGCTGCTAGAAATGTACACTGTTCAAAGTGGAGATGAAATCATGTTTTTCAAACTTTACAAAACTGACGTACTGAGGGGAGGTGAAGTAAAGCCCGAAAAAGAACTGGTCATGATGTAATCCGCAATCTGTTGTAACGCTAGTAATCCAGTTGGATTATGGCCTTTCTTCATCTGTTCTTGAATAAGGCATTCCAGGTCTTCCCGAAAGGCCTGTAATACACAAAAATAATCACTGAGCACATGCATGTCAAGTGGAGCAGAATGACCCCAACATAACTTGCTTTGATATAACCAATCTTTCCCCCATTCCTCTCAGGAATAACTTTCATTTACACTATCTAAAAATAAATATAAAGCACAAAATAAGAAAATTAAAACACTGGAAGCAGCTGCAAGAAACTTGCTTTCAGGGGATAGAAAATCACTAGGCATTCTTAATCTCTAAGAAAATGAGCCTTACAACATCCACAATACAAAGGCATGGGTAAAGGCAACTCTGTTAATAATATGCAACTAGAGCACCCAGTATAGCCTGATGTAAAAAGAGACCCATTCCTGGCCCAGCAGCTTATTATCTAGGTTAGGATAGACTCCTTATCTGAATGGAACTTGCCTCTGACTATAGCAACTCCCAGCAAAAGTCTTCACTAAGACATAGTAAATCAAGGCTTCCATTTTATGATTTCCATGGCAATTCCTTAGCTCTATAAACTCTGAAAACAAACTCATAAAGAGAAGAGAGCTGACTACTCCCCTCTGCAACACTGTGCTAAAGAAAGAACTTTTCTCCCAACTCTGGGTACTAAATGTTCCTGTTTTGGAGCTCTGCTTTTCTTCTTTTGGGAAAGGGGATGTAAGTGTGGCAGATAGTATTTATACAAATAAAAATACCGAATATTAAAAGAACAGTTTCTATTCCAGTAAGCTTTGAGTTGCTAATATAATTCATCATTTGAAAAATCCCCCAATCCTTCACATTAGTTGAATTAGCTGGCTTTGTATTTCTATCACACTCAACCAACACTTAGTTTATTAATCACCTATTCTCTTGCTCATGTCTATATTCGTTCACCTTAAACATGAAGGCGCTTGCATTATAAATTATACAGACCTTGCTCTTCCATTTGAGATTAGTTAAATGTGTAGCAGAATGCCCTGCTGGAAAGTATATTCAGTTTGTTCCCACTTCACTTAAGAGGGAGATGGCAGAATATACTGCTTTGTAATCATTTCCTCCAAGAGAGCAGGTATAAACACCATGGAGATCACTGGGAAATTCCCCCGAGAAGAGTGACTCTCCTCCGAGTCCCTGTGAGTAGTCTTCCTTGTAAGGCTGGGAATACAATCTCCTGGAGTGGCTGCTTAGATGGAGCCTTGCTTAGAGATGGCTGAATACACCTCAGAGGTTTTCAGAAGGAAGAACATTTTTAAATAATTTAGATAACGGCATAGAAGCTCATGCTGAAAGGGGAAATGTTGTTGTAAGGCTACGAGGTGGTAATACATATTAGAACCAGTCCTGACTCATGCTTGCATTGCTTTTAGAAAACAGTTGAAAGGCATCTGTGATGTGAATTGAAAGAGCTGAGTGTTAATAACTGTAATCTTGGGAGCTCAACCATGGAGCACCAAAGAACACATTGACTGAACCTAGCGCGGGAAGAGCGTAGGAAGTCCTTCCCCATTGCACCGCGATGGCCTGCAGAGGCATCTGAGTCAGCAGTGAACCTGCATCTCCTGTTAGGCAAGGGTTTCAACAACACCACCACATGGCAGTGAGAGGCAGGGGCAATGGCAGTCAGTGATGGACTGAACAGACTCTGGTGTGACGCTTTCAGAGACGCAGACACATGTACCACACAGCACAGCTTGGATATGGAAACCACTGATGAACCTTTTTAGACTATGTAAACCACTTCAAGTTCTTGGGACAATTTAGGGGAAAGTAGAAATTCCAAGAGAAAGATACTGCTTGAATGATTAATTTAAAAAATAGTAGTTGTAACCATATTTGAATTCTGAGTTCATAGTGCAGTTTATACCAGTTAAATATGGTTTCCCTTTTACAAAGGCTTGTTAAACACAAATCCTTGGTATAATTATAAAAAAATTCTAACTGTCTAATTCCATTGACTTTTATCTAGTTCATTTAAGTATGTGATTTAAACCAGAGATACTATCGTATAAAATATCCTTGACAAAGACACGTTGCACCCATCAGAAAAACTCCATTAATATATTTCTAAGACCTTGTGAACATAAAACGGCTGTGAGCTGCATATAAGATGGATTGACATCTTCATATTGCTGACTAACATGAGTGTTTTAACATGTTTAAGGCTGAAAGGAAAAGAATCTTCCAGACATACTCATTTATCTTTATATAAACTACAAAAAACTTCTAGACATCTGGCAATGGGCCAATCTGTTCTTCTGAAACTTTATCTTCCCTTCAAAATCAAACTCTACTTAAACCTGCTTTAATTCAAAGAAGCTATAACCAATATTATTTGATTCAGTGAGAAAAAAAAAACTATACCTACTATATGTATCACAATAGCTCTGAGAAGTAGGCATTATTTATTTTATTGAATACTGCACCTTATGTTGGTCCAGCAAGAATTTAAGGCAGATTCCATAGATTAAAATGATACAAAAATAAATATTGGTAAGAAAAATCAAGCTAAAGAGAAAATAAGCATATGGAGGTTAGACTGAGCCAGGAATGAGGTTGAGATACAAACAGCACACTATAAAATGGTATCATTTGCTAGAGATGGGCCAATTTTTATCTAAAGTTTCCAGAAGCCAACATGAATCAAGACAATTGCTCAGTATGCTGATTTACAATGGCTTTAAGAAAAAAAAACAAAACCAAGTAGTTGCTCAAGAGAATCACAATTATTTACGATCCTGATGAGAAATTTCTGCTGGGTATATTGAGAAAGCTAAATAAGAAAGGCTGAAAAGTTTGTTCAAGGTCACAGAGCTAGTAAATGTCAGAGACAAGGACTCAGGTCAAATGTTTTTTTCATCAGTGAAAATGCCTTTTTAAAAAACTTGCATTCATCCCATAAGATAGTGAGTACCATCCTAAAGCTTTGAGATGATCCATGGTGTCATAGAGGAATGCGTAAGCCCTTCTGAAATTAAGATAAATATATAAATTTCCCTTTTAAGGCTAGTGAATAGCTTCATAGCTTCCATGCTGTACAGAAGAAAATAATTTTCAAAGTAAATGAAAAGTTCCCAGCCTTTTTATATAGTTGACAGTGCTTCAACAGATATGAATTCTTTTATTCCAGAAGATTTAATATTTTTTGTCATGAACATTTATAACTCAGTTCTTAATGTTGCAAATATTTTTGAAATATTGTTCAGATAATTACCTCAGTCATAAAACTGTTAGTATAAAACTTACTAATGATATAAAACTGTTTCAGCTGACTTTAAAATTTTATCAATAAACATATTAAGCTTTCATTAAAATATTATGTCAAAAAAATAAAAATTTTGTTTGTCTTTATGGTAGTTAATCATGTTCCTACTAAAATTCAATATTAATAAAATAATCCTTTACAGTTCATTCATTTGAATCTCACAATAAAGTCCTAAAACAGGCAATTACTTGCTTGTGGTTGCACAGCTAATAAGTAAATGGAATAGTGATTCAAATCTCAGACTCTCAGTTGGGTATAGGATATCTGCCTAATTGTATCAGAGATGAGTAGTATCACTGAATCCAGTTACAGGTATGCCTTGTTTTACTGCACTTCATATTATTGTGCTTTTTTAGGTACCGTGTTTTTTTCTTCTAAATAAACTGAAAGTTTGTGGCCACCCTGTGCAGAGCAAATCTAACAGTGCCATTTATCCAACAGCATTATTTTAAAATTAAGGTATGTACATTGTTTTTTTTAAGACACAATGCTCTTGGACACTTAATAGAATATAATATAAACATAACTTTTGCATGCACTGGGAAACAGACTCTGTGTGACTCACTTTATTGCAGTTTGTATTACTGTGGTGGTCTGCAACTGAAGCTGAAATGTCAGGGTTAGTAGAAGGAAAGAAATCTTAAAAATTAGGGCAGAAATAAATGCAAAAGAAACTAAAGAGACCATAGCAAAAATCAACAAAGCTAAAAGCTGGTTTTTTGAAAAAATAAACAAAATTGACAAACCATTAGCAAGACTCATTAAGAAACAAAGGGAGAAGAACCAAATTAACAAAATTAGAAACGAAAATGGAGAGATCACAACAGACAACACTGAAATACAAACGATCATAAGAGACTACTACCAGCAGCTCTATGCCAATAAAACGGACAACTTGGAAGAAATGGACAAGTTCTTAGAGAGGTATAACTTTCCAAAACTGAACCAGGAAGAAATAGAAGATCTTAACAAACCCATCACAAGCAAGGAAATCAAAACTGTAATCAGAAATCTTCCAGCAAACAAAAGGCCCAGGACCAGATGGCTTCACAGCTGAATTCTACCAAAAATTTAGAGAAGAGCTAACACCTATCTTACTCAAACTCTTCCAGAAAATTGCAGAAGAAGGTAAACTTCCAAACTCATTCTATGAGGCCACCATCACCCTAATTCCAAAACCAGACAAAGATGCCACAAAAAAAGAAAACTACAGGCCAATATCACTGATGAACATAGATGCAAAAATCCTTAACAAAATTCTAGCAAACAGAATCCAACAACATATTAAAAAAATCATACATCATGACCAAGTGGGCTTTATCCCAGGAATGCAAGGATTCTTTAATATCCGCAAATCAATCAATGTAATACACCACATTAACAAATTGAAAGATAAAAACCATCTGATTATCTCAATAGATGCAGAAAAAGCCTTTGACAAAATTCAACATCTATTTATGATTAAAACTCTCCAGAAAGTAGGACTAGAAGGAACATACCTCAACATAATAAAAGCTATATATGACAAACCCACAGCAAGCATCACCCTCAATGGTGAAAAATTGAAAGCATTTCCCCTGAAATCAGGAACAAGACAAGGGTGCCCACTCTCACCACTACTATTCAACATAGTTTTGGAAGTGTTGGCCACAGCAATCAGGGCAGAAAAAGAAGTAAAAGGAATCCAGATAGGAAAAGAAGAAGTGAAACTCTCTCTGTTTGCAGATGACATGATCCTCTACATAGAAAACCCTAAAGACAATACCAGAA